TTTTTGAGACAAAGCCTCACCCTGTTGCCCAGGATGGAGTGCAGTGGCACAGTCTTGGCTCACTGCAGCCTCTACCTCCCAGGTTCAAGAGATTCTCCTGCCTCAGCTTCCCGAGTAGCTGAGACTACAGGCATGCACCACCATGTTCAGCCAATTTTGGTATTTTTAGTAGAGACGGGGTTTCACCATGTTGGCCAGGCTGGTCTCAAACTCCTGACTTCGGGTGATCAACCCACCTTGGCCTCCCAAACTGCTAGGATTACAGGCATGAGCCACCACCCAGCCTTAGCTGGGTAATTTCAAACAGAATTCCTAGCTTTAACTTTTAGAATGCTAGAAAATAGAGGAAATCTCTTTTCCGTTTGGGCTTTAGAAAATGAATACATTTCCGGCCAGGTGCAGTGGCTCAGGCCTGTAATCCTAGCACTTTAGGATACCGATGGGGGCAGGTCAATTCACCTGAGGTCAGGAGTTCGAGGCCAGCCTGGCCAACATGGCGAAACCCTGTCTCTACTAAAAATACATAAATTAGCCGGGGTGTTGGCACATGCCTATAATCCCAGCTACTTGGGAGACTGAGGCAAGGGAATCTCTTGAACCCGGGAGGGTGGGAGTAGGGGAGCAGGCCTAAGCAAAAAAGCAAATCTCTGTCTCAAAAAAAAAGAAAGATAAAAAAGAAAAGAATATATTTCCACAATAAAATGTGGTAGATAATTGGTGAAGTTACAAAGATTCATAAAAACATTAGTTCCTGTTTTCGAAGGATAAATTTGTGACCGTGAATATTTCTAGTCTATACCCTGTTATCTTGATTTCTGAGTTTCATGCTAAATTTTATGAGATGAAACTTGGTACCTTCTAGAAGTGTTTCCATGTGACTGTTTACCTCATAATTTTTAATGGAAAGAATAAAACAGCACATTTATTGTTTAAAGGAATACTTTTGCTTTTCTTATTGAGATGTAAAATATAAGCATCTTTTAAAAAGTCCTCGCCTTGTATGAATACTGTGTTTGAGTTATTTTGCTGGATTTTCTAACTCTTAGTTTCAAAAGCCAAGTGAATAGCTCAGACGTGAAAATTAAAGCTTGAGCCAAGTGGCTCGAAGCTAAGGCTGATATTGAGCTTGCGAAAGGAGGCTGTTAAAGGCTCAATTCTTTCTGGAGATCCTCCGCTGCGGATGTCCCAGGCTTCTCACCCCAGCCGTAGAAGAAGCCTTTATTCTGAGAGAAGCTACAGAGCCCTGGCAAGCTGGGGACCCACAGGCAGATGCAGCTAAGGTTAAGATGGAAGGGGATTGGCAGGGTCTTACTGAAGATGAAGTTGTTACTGTTTTGAGGTAGTTTCTAGACCTTGTAAAATAAAACACAGATGTATGTAAAAAAAATACTTGAATTCCAAAGGAAGAAGCACCAACTATAAATCTTTATAAAGATTGCGAAGTTTAGGCAGACAAGGGCTTTCTTTCGTAGGAAGAAGCAAACAAGATGAAAAGAAAGTGGGTGGAGAATGGCAAATTGAGGGTCAAAAAATTAGATTTTAGATTAGCAAATGTTTTACCCTGAAGTCAACACGTTCTTAGGAGGAGCATAAAATGGGGTTCTGTTTTGGCTCAAACTGAAGGAAGCTCAACATTCAGAAGCCTGTGGGAAGGAGAGAAACTTAAGTAAAGTTTGATTTTAAAAGTATTTTATTTTGAAAACTGAAGGCAAATTCAGCTAATTTTTTATAAGGAAAAAAATGTGCGGAGTCTCTTTCCGGCTGTGACAAGTAAGAAAAGAGCACCCACCATCTAAGTCATAATGGGAAGGGTATTTCTTTCCATAAACTGTTCCTGGAGAACCCAAAGGATGGAGAATTTTGTTAATCACAGCTTTTTACCAGGAGTATCCATGTGCTTCATCTTTCCCCACTTCAGTTTTTTGTCATCCTATACCTTTCTTCCATTGACTTTTTGGGTCTTTTGCTTTTCCTGGGTGTATCTTTTATAATAAACTAGTCAACATAACTACAGTGTTTTGTTTAGTTCTGTGAGAAGCTCCATCATATTATATAATTGGAGGGAGTTTATAAGAGTTTCCAATTTCTAAACAGTAGTTAGAAGCATAGATGAGCCTTTGGGGTTTGTGACTGGCATCTGCAGTGAGGACAGTGTTGTGGGGCTCAGCACTGAATCAGCGTCTGTGCTGATGCTGGGTGGTGTCAGAATTCAAATATTAGACAACTAGTTGGTGTTGGAGAATTGCTTGGTGTTCACCAATCTACAGATTTGGGGCCAGAAGACAGATATCACAGAGGCCTGGCCTGGAATGGAACTCTGGGTGTCTGAACAATGGGAGGCTCTGATCTCCTGTACACAGGCTGTCACACTGCCCATTGTCCTATGATTCCAGGTCTCCTCCCACTGTGAGAGTGGACTGAAAACTTAGAAGAAGTTAGCTCTGATAACAGAGCCTCTTTTTCCACAGCTGCCACCCCAGGATTTCCACTCACTCACAAACATACCCCCTAGAAATTGATGTGTCCACACTCCTCCCAGGGCTAGACACCACCCTCAGGAATTTCCCCACAGCGTTTTTTATCCTAGGCCTGAGCCACCGTGCCTAGCCTAGTTTTTGACTTTTTTTTTTTTTTTTTTTTTTTTTTTTTTTTTTTTTTTTTTTTTTTTTTTTTTTTTTTTTTTTTTTTTTTTTTTTTTTTTT